GTGGAGGGTAAATATGATATTTTAATTTTTTCTTTTCCCCTGCCATGACTTGACATAATTTTCATCTGCTTTGAACAATACTTAGGTTTCTTAACGCACTTGGGCTTGCAAAAACACTTGCCATACTAATGACATGATTCTGATATTTGAACTTAGATTTTTTTCCATCACTTCTGGCACTTGAAAAATTGCTCTTTGCAGGGACAGCTGGAATAAAGAATTTCTCATGCAATGCCTATGTGTTTCTAGATGCAGATATTATTTTGAAAATTCCTTATGAGGTGAAACATTCCAATACAGCAGAAACATGATTTTACTGTCTCTTAGTGTTGTTATTGATGTGGTATAGCTGTCTCACAGATTCCATACAGGACATCAATTATTTTTTCCTCTTTCATTTCACTAACTTGTGCACTGAAGTTCAAGCTATTTTCAAGGAAATGTAAGGAGTGCTTTGGTGAAGTGGTCACTTCGCCATCTTTATGCTGGTGGAGAGCCATTGAGGTACTGAGTTTCTAAGAATATTGCATTAGTTGCAACCAGTGCAAGACGGTTGCCTGCTGATTTGGTCACTGAGTGTTGAGATATTGCCAGGAGAAGGGATGTTTTGCCCTACATACAGACCTTTGGGCTGTTGTGAACCAGTGCTGCTTGTACTGCCGTGGCAAGACTGTGTGGATATCTCAAGATCATTTCCATGTCTGACCGTAGCAAGCCAGAGACCAGACCTGGAATCTACCTTGTCTACTTCGCCGAGAACCACGAGGACTGTGATGGGTAAATAGCCAGTAATTCCCTTCCTCTGTTGCTAACTGTGGCAATGCTTTTCTCTGCAGCAGTGAGCCTGTTCAGGTGCTTTGATGTCCTGAAAAGTGGGTTCGTGATGCAGTTGGTCCCTTGTGGCTCCTTATTAGAAATTGCTCCATTTGTAAGCTTTCTGCTGCCTTTTTTGGGGTTCTACTTCTAGGTTTACTGTGTTACCTTGGGCTACCTATGCCAGTTGAAAGATAGCCTTGTGCTGCTATGGGGAGTGATGCTGTGACTTGTAAGCCTGCCCCGAGCAGGGCCACGTCTCCTTGTTTATAGCTCTGTCTTGATAGCACCCACGCGACAACAGCCTGTCTGAGGACCTGAAGGTGGTTTTTTGTGTTTGATCTTAGCTACTCGAAGACCAAGGCTGAAGTCTACCACTCCTTCCTCTCTGGCAACCAAGCAAACTGTGATGGGTAACTAGCAAAACCCCTCCTTGATCATTTTCCCTTTCTCTCTTGCTCCCCATCACGCCTTCCACCCAAAGCCACCTGGCATCCTTGTCATCTTCCACAGAGAGTATGAAGGCTTGCCAAAGCACTCACCACACTTGTTCTGCAATTCTTTTCTTTGATCTCTTGCTTTTTCCATGGCTGACGAGCATTTTCTGCAGGGACCGAGCGACAGGTTGCTCAGAGAACGTATTCTCGCACCTTGCCTTCAGCCGCCATTCCTCTGCTTCTCTGTGTTTTGGTAGCAGGTCTTCCTTTCTCCGACACAGTCAAATGTGACAACGTTCTTAAGAGGCAGATGCAGGCTGGACTGGCACAGGAGGACAGCACTGCAGTTCAGCTGCCCACCGGGGTTTCCTGGTCCAAGGGCGCAGCCGTTGGTTGCTTCACCACTGACTTTCAGGGTGGTCGGTTGTCACGTGCCCACACGGTTACATTGCCATCACCTGGAAGTGGGAGTGCTCTGCTCTGCTGCTGCTTTTGAGGTCACGCCGGGGTTTTAAGAACGATGCCTCTCTTCGTGTTTTGGTGAACCACGGCATGTTTCTTCAACATTCAAAACACCGTCAGCCTTTGGTGCCTGGCCATGCTGCCGAGCTGATTTGGTAACGACATTTCTTGCAGATCTGGTAACAATGCAAGATGGGAAATGTCCCAAGAGTTATTGTTGTGCATTTAGACGAACTGTTCTTTCTCTTGAGACTATGTTGATGTGAAGCATAAGTGCAGAGATGAAACGACCGTACGTGAAAAGCCATATTTTCTTAAGGCACTGGATATGGCACTTGGTGGCAACGGTTGGAGATGCTCATAGAGATAGCTTCTCTCACGCTGGCAGGTGTACAAGACCAGTTCTGTGACCTGGCGGTATGTTTTGGCCTGTGAGGCAATAAAGCAGTACCTGAGCAGGCTGGTAAACCTACAGACCTGAAGGCGAGTGTGAGTTAAAAGTTCATGGAGCCATATTAACATATCCTTCCCTTTGAGATGCAGTTGGTTACCAGATGTGCTAGCTGTGTTTCTTGATGTCTCTGTCTAAGTCACGGAAACTGATTCTGAACTGGTTTTGTGGCACTGGAGTAATGTTGTATTTTTCTCAGCTGAGTGTCACGTACTTCAGTGTGTTTTCCAGTGATGCAATTCTTGCCTATGTTGATCCTTTCAGGATCCTTCTACCCTCTCTCTTGCAAGAAATTGCTTTCTGTGTATCAGAAATTCTAGTTATCTCCTCTGTTACCTCTATTTTTAAACAGTGTTTTCAATCTGAGTTGTATATCACATCTTGTCCCGCAAGGCATATGCAAGTCTGTCTTTGCCCTTCACCTCTTTAGTTATTTTTATATTCTTTTTTCTTATTTTTCTGTCATATTGTCCGATGTCTTTATTCTTATTTCTTGCAACAAGCTGCTTCATCATTTGCGTCACCAGTGTATCTTCACATATTTGCATTAGAAAATCCATTCCATGTGCATTTGAGATTTTCTCCTGTCTGAAGTCCTTAGTTCCTTAGTATTGGGTTGAAACCTCTTCAGTCTGTAGGTTTAGATGATGCCAAAAAGAATTTTTTGTTTTGTTTTGTTTTCCAGCTCCACTGGACTCTCATCATATTACTTTCCCGTCCCAAACATCTGCATCTGCAGAAATATCAGAAATAGAGACTGGTAAATTGTGTTTATGATACTTTCATAGTTTAGGATTTGGTTTTGCCTTAAGGATGTTACTGTTACAGGCTGTTTGTTCTGATTGCTTGGAGTTATCTGAAACAGAATTTTGTCTGCAGTGTTTGGTAATTAGGTGCTAACTACATGATAATAGCCTATGGCATAGGATCAAATATAGAAACCCACCAGGAATCAGTATTGTTTTGGGTGTGTTTTAATCTGTCATATATAAGGGACCACAACTAGATGGAGTCATTATCAGTTATGAAGATATATTCTTGATTGGGACATTTTACCCTGGGCAATTTTTTTGTTAATCATACCACACACAGTTGTTTTCAGTTTTCTCCATTAATAAGCATTTTTTTTCAAGTTACGTTACGTTTCGTTACATTGGAACATTTCTTACTGGTGTTACAGCTCTCCAAGATTACATTTGTATTCATAGAAAAGGTATGAAAGTGTGAGAGACGAGAAGAAAAATTACCCTAAACTTGACAGTCAATATTTGAACAGTATAGTTTCGTATTTTCTGCCTCACCTTCTGGCTTTTCAGTATGTCACAAAAGTTAATTTATGTTATGTCATTTATATAAAGTATAATATATGACAAATTACATGATGTGTACTATATTAAAACCAGTAACTCAAAATACTGGCATCTGTTAAACTGAAACAAGCAAAGCGTTGGCAGTAGAAATACCTTATTGCAGAAATCTGTGTTAGCATATAAGTATGTAGGGGTCTTTCTACAGATGCAGATGAAACCAAAAGCACAGGTTTTTTGGTGTTACGTATGCACAGATCACGTGACTCCTGTTGATAAGTCTGCTTTTAGGGGGCCTACAGTTTCTGTCAAGGTATGTCTGTTAGGCATGTGTGACTTTTTCAAAACTTTGAGATTTTGGTCATTTCAAGCTGGAAATCTTGTAAAGCATTGTCAAGCAATCTTACTTTTTCAGATTTCCCCCTCACCCCCCCCTCCCTCTTTCTGCACCAATATGAATCTCTCTCTCAGGGTTATTTACATTTTTCTGCAGTTACAAGTTCAGCCGACCTGGAAAAATCTATGCCTCCAGTTTCCAGAACACCTCATGTGCTAACAACTACTATGGGTAATAGTAATGCATAAGCTTTTCAGTTAAACCACTTTTGGTGTTTTGATAGCAAGTTTGGAAATCCTCTTCAGCCCAGATATTTTGGTATCTGCCATACTTGTCTTCTGCTTGAGTCATGATCAACAGTGTAGACAAAGTACCCTTTTTCACATGAGCCAAGACGGCTTGTGCTTCCTGCTGCAAAACTTACCTGATAGTGTTTCTGATCTTACATTTGTCTCTCAAAAAGCTACTAGAGCTATTTGGATATATACTTAAATGAAGTAAGTTTGGTTTAATAATAATAATGATAATGCCTAAAGCTTAATAAGAAAATTACTTGTTTTTTTCTTTCAAGCTCGTTATACTCAGAGAGATGGATACACACATTTATATAATCTATATTGTTTATGCCAGCATAGTAAGCATCTTTCTTACTATTTCAGTTCAGTGATTTCTTTAAACTTTATTTTATACTTGTTTTAGATGTGCGTATATGTACACAGATTTTATGACATAAAAATTCACTAAGAAAATCTTGACAGAAAACAAACTCCTGAAGAGAATTAAGATAGTCTTTTACAGAAATATATTTGCAGTGGTTTTAGTTTTGGTGATTATATTTTTTCTGCCTTTTTTTTTTTTTTGAATGTTTTATGCTTATAACCATAGTGTTAGAAGTTCTTTTATCTTTATATTTTCTGTATTGCTTTAAAGTACATGGACCATGCTATCTAAAGTAATGGTAAGTTAGGTTGTCTGACACTTTGGTTTCAGTTGTCATTTAACCACTAGCTTCAGCTCCCACTCTAAACCAGCACTGCTCCATTGTCAAGGTAAGTCATGATTGTTGTGAGTGGACCTCTGCATTGCAGATTAGGTATGTTATAACCTGTAACATTTTTTGTTTGTTCTTATAAAACAAAAAAGCTCTGTGTAGAACTGATAATCATAGATACTGTGACCTGTTTTTTTTATAGCTTTCAGTGGTATTCAGCCTGTTCTTTCAAGCCCTGTGACACCTAGTAAAACTGAAATAGCAGATGCTGGACCAGGTACAACAATATCTACTTAGTTCTTAATTCAGTAGCTCAAACCATGCTTTAAAACTCACTGAAATGAGTACCCTGGTAATCTTCACTTTCAGTGCATGTTTGGATTAGACCCTAACAGATCAAATATTGAATTTAGATTTTTGTTAATTGTTAAAATTTGTGCTTTCTCACACTTAAAATGCATATGGCAGCTCATAGTCACATGATTGTCCTTCAGTATTTTGAAAAATATGCCACATAGATAACTGAGAAAACAGTATTTATTGTATAGTAGTGCTGATGGAAATACTGTAGTGCAGCCATAGGCTGCATTCTACTGCTGTAGCGTTTTCAAAAATACTAAGGAGAGTATATCCTTAAGGGCGCGAAATTGGTTAACAGTCACAGACACTCAGTGCTTTTGGACAGAAGCCGTAATTGGATCAGTTGTCAGCTTTCTACTCAAAATTTTATATGGATTTAATGTCTGATTGTTCAACATGTCTTGTTCATTAAATTCATGCATTTTTCACCACACCATCTTCCTTAAGTAATGGACCAAAACTCAAAATGTTCAAAAGCTCAGCTTAAAATCTTCTTTGGAAGTGCTTGAGATTCAGACCAGTTGCAATGAAGGTAGGAGTAAATGAACATCCAGGATTTCTATACATCACAACTGTGATGTTTTACAGTCACTGAAACTGTGCAGTTCAAAAACCTCAATTTCTCTCTTAATGCATACCATACGTACACATACTATAAGTGTCCAATCATTAGTGAAATATATGTTGTTCTTGTAAAAACAAATTTGGTTTTGCTTATGAAGGAAGAGTTTCTTCCATTAGCTCTTTGCTTTCTTATGACTGTCACCATTTTTTCCAACAGCAACAAGTGAATCCATTCTGGAATCTTTCACACCTAAAACTTTGCGTCCTTTTCATTGGCCAAGCGTAACATTAGGTAAAGTTGTTTTCACCCAGTGAAAAACTGTGTTGAGCACTTCATCCCATATTAATGCATTTCTTCCAGCATATCATTTCACATGCATAATCATTGTTCTTTTTCCTGGTTATAGAGTCTTGTTCTTCCATTGTCATTAGGCTGATTCTTCTTGCTATATCTCTATATGAGAACATAGTTCAGGATGGTTTTACTGTCCTCGGAGAAGTAAAACTTGCCACTTGCATGAAAAACTCAATCATCCTTTTATTAGAGTCTTCTGTCTATCTCTCTCACTCTCATGCATATGCATGTCTGATACGTAGAGCTTTCATAGTGAAAGTTTTAATTGTTCTGGAGACAGAGAATCTATTTCTGATCAAGGCACAGCATTTCAGTATCATCTCCATTCCACACTTCAAACTGATTCCACACTTTAAACTGATTTCATCAGATGGCTTTTGCATTCCATACTAAGTTGTCTTTTCTTCAATATAAATTTGTGGCATGTGCTGTTTGTTGTGGGAAACCACTGTTAAACAATTTTTGATTGCAAACTGAGCTCTTTCTTTCAGCTCCAAAGGAAATACCACTTATTCCTTCTAAACTGAAACCATCTGCTACCCCAGAAGTACAGCATGTGAAACCTGGTAATTGTGCACACCATTTTTATAAGTTGGTAGGCAGAGACATATGTTTACTAAAAATATCTAAGCAAAACTTCCCAAAAAGGACAGGAGCTATGCAATACATGAGCATCTTGACTAACTCACCATTCTGAACTCGGTCATTTGATGTTGACTAACAAAAGGAATGAGAATTAAGCTCATCAGTTTTACACATTTGGGTCCAGTGATAAAAATAAAAAAAAAGTTCTCTAGTTTTGTAACCTTTTTAAAGGGCTGGAAGGGAAAAAAAAAAAGTCTGGGTGGCACAGGGATTTTCTATATCACTTGTATAAACAATATATATAATTGTTATTTCTACAATTTATTTTGCCAGTTCCCACGTCCCACTTCCATACTATAGCAAAGATGTAATCTTTGCTGTTCACAATAAAACTATTGTGTTGATTGAAAATAAAGTACTGCTCTTGTGATCAATAAGTCCTCCTGCAGGCAACTCAATGGAAAGGGTTGCCATTTTAGTGGAAATAGGAGAGCTTTCTCAAAGTAGAAAGGGAAACTTTCATATACACATGAGATTCATTCTTTAACCATGGGAACATTATCATCATGTTGTGTCTTTTTTCTTTTTGCATTTTGATGAAAAAATAATCTCTGTACTCATTTTCTTTTGATTTGGGATTAAATGAGATGAATTTAGATCCTTTAGTGATTCAGATGCTGGATGAATAAATATTGTGGTGTGCATTACTAGAGTCCTAAAATGTTTCTGGTTTTATATCTTATAAAATAGACAGGTGAATAAAATGCAGGAGTTGCCCTTGATGTCTTATATGTGTCTTGCAATCAGCTGCAGCCTCTGATTTAAGATTTTCAACAAGATTTTGGCATTTAGAATTTTCCTCTTTGGTATAGATTCTCTGGTATTTGTAATGGATTGCAGTCTTTTCTTAGTCAAAGACCTCATCTGTCCTTTCTCACTATTCTCCCATAACATAAAAGAAATGTAGTTATTGATTGTATCAAACAGTGGATTAGAAATGTCCTGAGAACATATGGGGAAGGAGACTTAGAAGCAGACTCTCAGACATAGCCACAAGCATACAGTGTATTTTCATAGGAAACAAAACTAAAAGGAGGGTAGAGTGTTTTGTGTAAAAGTAGGACTTAGTTGCATGTTTATCTAGTCTATTTTAAAACGAACAAACCAACCTCCCAAACCATGGAATGGTAATGCTTTTGGCTTACTGCAGATACATTTACCGATCTGTTCAATTACACTTTAATTTTTCTTTTCTAGCCCCTAAACCACCACTTTTGGAGCCTAAAACTTCTCAGACTGTTGAACAACCAAAAGTAACACTAGGTAATACATGTTTCTGTAGTTGTTGGTCACTCTTCTTTGCAGTACAAGCCACGGTTCATATTCTGTTACTTCATCTCATAACCTTTACTATATTTAATCCATTTCTCTGAGAGGAGAAAAGTTAGGAAATAAGTATTCAGAAACATGTTTTTCTAAACTTGGAAGAAAAAGGAACGACCTTTTTTTCATACTAGTATAATTTTGGGGATCAAAATTGTCTTTCATTTTGTTGGGAGTTTTTCTACACCAACACACTTTACCTTCAGAAAATCATTAGAAAGCCATTAGAAATAATATTGAAAGGCCAAGTGCAAGGTTAGTATTGTGGACATTAATCCTAGAACTCTCAGTGCAGGATTCCTGTGGCACTAGATGGATATGTTAATTCTATTGTTCTTTCATGAATCCTGAATGTCATTTTGACTTGAAAATAACTGCTCAGTCATTTAATATGTCTTATTCTACTTTGTTATTTCTATAAATGCCATTTGCTTTTCCACTCTATTGCTATAAAACCTTTTATTAGAAAGCAGTCTCATAGCACTGCTTTATAGCAATGAACAAAACTACTGACTGTACTACCTGAAGCTTACCTTAAACTTTATCTGGTCTCAGATTAACCGTCATATTTAGCCAATTACAGTTTCAGCCCATGTGTGTTCAGGGGAAAAACCTGTTTCTAGGACTGATTGCTCTTAATTTTTACCATTTAGGTGAAACTACTTCCTTTTTATTAACAGAATTCAGTTGCTACAGTTAGGAAGCAATTCCCTTTTTTGTTACTCATCCTGTATTTTTCCAGGTCCCTATCAGTAATTTATTTACAGCGTTGAAAATTGAGGACGTTTTTGCATATTTTGTCCACCTGTCTTTTGATGGCTTAAAATCGACCTGGAGTTCAAAAGGACAAACAGCATTATTATTTTACCTCTTAAGTATCTTCAAAAATGAAATTAATGAGAGGAACATTTTGATGTGATTGTAAACTACAATTACATACTCTAAATTTACTTACTGATTATTATAGTGAAGAACAAACTGGGATAGTGAAGTCTTAGGAAGATTTTTGAGAAGCGTTCTCAGCAAATCTGATTTCACCATCTGCTTTTGTCCTCAGTAGCCATTCATTTCTTCATTTCAGGCTTGAAGAATGTGATTTTTATGTGATACAGTGCAAAGATAATCTTATAATCCAGTATATTTCTTTCAGCTCCTAAAGAAGCAAAACTCACACATTCTGCATCTAAACCTAGACCATCTACCAGACCCAAAAAGCCACGAACTAAACCTGGTAACTAACTTTCGTAGCAAACATTTGTTATAATGTCTCACTTAAGTAGTATACTTTAATTTAAATTTACTCTGTATGAAGCTCAGCACTTAATCATCAGAAAGATGGGGACTGAGGGGAGCTGTACTCTTTGAGGGATATTATTTTTGTACTGAACCAAAAAGCTTTGAAGAAGGCAAGAAAACTTGTAACTTTTACATCCCAAATCACCAAGTTGCATGGCCTGTCCTTGAAACAAATTCTCTTCCTGCTTTTCATTGCAAAATAACAAGTTTTCCAACTTAGTTCTGCATAGGGTCCACAAAATGCAAATTCTCCTGTTTTGCTGATGGTTACAGCACCTTACCTAGAGCCATAGCATTCCTACTGATTCAGTGATCCTTAGTGCATATGTAGACTTACTGAAAGTGTGAAAATAAGAGTGAAATTCTACTCTGGAATTTAGGAAAGGCATATTTTATGATGACAAATGAAATTGCACCTTCACATCAGGGTTGAATTTGGTCTTTGATGTGTGTCAGAGGATGAAAGACACCTAGTATTTTCTGGAGCTGAAGAATAAGTGAATACAGTTACAAAAATATTACCAGTGTTCCATGGTTTATAATGAACTTAGAAAGCTTAAAATTGCATAATTGTACATTGTAAGAATTTATTAATTGATTCTGGAAGAGATCAGGCAATATTATTAAATTCTTTCCAGATTCTCTGTGAATTATTCTTTTGCTCATAAAAATAATTACTCTCTTCAGACCAAGTAATCCCTTGTGCAGCTTGTTAACTAAATGGTATTTATGACTTGGAACTGTCTCAAAATTGTGTGCGTAATTAGTTTTTCATGGTGATTACAGCTCCTACAATATTTTTAGTGTAGGAAATCCAGTGTTGTATTACTAGAATAATTACATTTGTCTTTGCTCTAGATGTCTATATCTGAATATAGATCTAAATCCTGCATGGTCTTTTGAAATGACAGAAGAAAAAGACCAACTGTTGCATAAAACTGTTTTACACCCTTGGACTGCCAAGATCAACACTGTATATTGATGTTTCTGCAATAAATGCCTATAGAAAAAGCTTCTATATAACTACAAAGAAGGTGGCACAATTCTGTATTTGTACACGTGCCTCTTGCTTGTTCTCTTCCTGTTAGTGATTTCACTGATCAATCAGATTGAATACTATGAAACACTTTTTAATCATAATTAAGTTTGTAATGATCTTCCTGTGAGTAGGTATTTGTGAATTTGGCATTTGTTCTGAGGGGACAAATTATTATATTCTTGTTTAGAAATTATTATTTGAGGTATAAAATATTCAGTGCATGGGGATAACCTGTTTTTTTGGATAGGTGGCAAAAGGGTCAAAGAGCAGGATCTCCTCTGTATTCTAGCTTAAATTAAAAACTTGTGTCATAACACTGGTTGTCACCTTTCCTTAACAGTGGATCAAAATAATTAAAAACATGTGCTGAATTCACACTTGATCACTGACTTACTAATGACCTACCTTGGGTCAAACAGAATTCCTGAAAGTTAATTTTGGCTCTCATTCTTAATAAGACTTTTGTACTGGTTTTGGTAAAGTATTTGTCTTTTTGCAGTGGAGTAAAAAATTAAAAAAAAATTTAAAAAGCCAAAAACCAACAACATAGAAACAATGCTCAGTTTTTCCAACAAACCAACTGTACATTCTAGTGAAAGTTTGCAGCTTTGGGGTTTTTTTGGTATTTGGTTAATTAAATCTGTTGCTTGCGTGAAAAAATAGTTCTTGTTGCCAGTGTGGTCATGCCCAACCGTTGTGCTCGCTTGTGTTATTGTTAGTGTCAATCTCTCTATCTAAACATTTCTCCAAGTTCTCCATTTTTCAGTAAATGAAATTATAATGTATTTTCTACCATGCTTCCAACTGCACTGCAACATTTTCTTTCCAGAAATGTGCAAGAACAGCTCTTTATAATGAACCCCTGTTAAGTCCCTGTAGATGCATTATAAATTTACACTCTCTTGTGCCTTTAGTACAAGATGTTAGTTCTTTATATCTGTCCATGCATTTCTACTTGTGTGATATGAGAATTTTGCGAGAACTGCATAACTGTTTTAACAACAAAAAAGCAGAACTTATCTGTGTAGAAGAGTATCTCAATTGCCTAGTATTTATAAATTTCCATAGTCTTAATACAGTACTGAAGTTAAGATAGAGTAATATTAGATAGAATGGTGCATACATGTCGTTGTTCCTTTTACAGTCTTCTCTTCCTTACCCAGGACTGTGAGGGTCCTGGAAGGGCTTCCAAACCTGCATCTTCTGCAGTGTAGTCATAGCAGAGAACCATGCCTTCTCAGCCTATGAAAACTCTGCTTGATAACTTGATGCATGTATTTCTGACTATTTTCTATCCTTTAAAGTCTCAGGTTACCTGGCTGCTCAGTGCATACAACCCAAAAATCTAATAACCCAATAAACTCTTTAATAATAAGCGTAACTTCTATGTCAAAGTTCTCTTATATTGTCTGGGAGTTTTATTCAGATGCTCTGCTTTCAGAAAGGTCAGAGGAAGTGAAAGGCATTTTATTTCCTCCCAATCTTATTCTTCTCTCATCATCACCCTGAGAAATCCATTTTCCAGATCAAGCTTTTCTGTTTATCTAGAAATGTTTACATGAAATATGAGTTATGTATCTATTAATGAACTTTTTTTAAATGGGATCAGAAGAAATCTTTACCAGAGACTTTCAGAATCTCTTTAGGATTGGGAGAAGGATGGCGTTGTTGAATTTCATGTTTGAAAAAACAAAGAAATTAAAAAGTTTAAACAGATCTGCATGACTCATCAGAAAAACATGGTGCAATGAATATATGCAATGAATATATGGCCATAGGTTAGTTCTGGAAGAATGTGCAAAGTACCTAACTTGTAGGTTAGTATGCTTCTTACTAGATTTCTTTGCTTTGATGTATAACAAAGTGTGATGCTTAGATGTGCATATGTTATGCAGTACTCAGTGCTTCAAGGTGTAGAAAAGTGGTCTCCAGTTGTTAAATAGGTAAGAATTGCCTGCTGATCTTTGTCATGTCAGAGCTGTACTTCCACTTGTGACAATTCAGAGAAGAACTCGGCAAACAAAGGGTCCTACTAGTGGATGATTTTTCCATAGTTGCTTCTGTATATTCTCATTCTTCACCTTTTGACCCCAACTAGTACCAGAGCCCTGTGGTTGGGAGCAAAAACTGTGATTGCACTGTCTGGGTTGGAATATTTTTTTTTTTTTTTAAAGAATGGTGCTGTCACTTCACATGAGCCACTTCATGCATTATCATTTTCCATGACATGGCTTTAAAGGGGATTGTCCTGAGGGGAGATTTACCTACCTAGTGAACGTTAGTTTAGAGAAACCATTCCCAGAGAACATAGGAAAACTTCATAACTGCTGTCAGAATTTCTTTCAACTTTTCAGTTCCCAGTAGAGCTTTTTCTTCCAAAACTAAAGTCTTTTTGCATCCAGAATAGCCTGTGACAATGCTAGGCAATTGCTGTGTCCTTTCACAGGATCACAGAATGGTTGAGGTTGCAGGAGACCTCTGGATTTCACCTGGTCCAACCACCTGCTCAGGCAGGGCTAGCTAGAGCAGGTTGCCCAGGACCATGTCCAGACAGGTTTTTTTAATATCTCCAGGAATTGAGACTCCACAACTTATCTGGGCAACCAGTTTACTTAACTGCCCAAATTATTTGTCCTTAAGACATTTTGGAGTATTTTGCTTTCTTAAATTACTTGCAATAATATCAAATACATCAATCATTAACGATAAAAATTGCCAGTAAATAAATAAGGCAAGATTTAAAATTCTGAATATGTTAGTTCCTTTATTCAGACTGAATAAATTAATAAAGCAATAAAATAAATTTATATCTAAACTGTCAGTTTTGGAAGTATTAGGTCTCAGATTTTATTGTATTTAAAAGTTTTAAGGTAATTTCCTCAGAATTAGTGTAACTGTGATTCTTAAAATGTTTGTGAACTTTGACATGACAATTTGTCAGTAAGTCTGAAAATAAAGATTGAAACACATTGTACAATATTCATCAATCATTTTTTCTTTCCTAATTAAAATCTGTATCATGATGAAAGGAGAGCAAGCATAAGGAGGTGTAGGTAATAAAAAATAGGCTGAGAAGAGTCAAAGCAGAGTAAATGTAAAGTTTGAAGGTTTGGATAAGCACAATGGTTATTTAATTATTTTAGTTATATTTAGGAATGAAAATGGACTCCAATTGTAAAGTCTTGCTAATATTAAACAGTAGTACCAACTCTGTCTTTGAAGTTCTTTATAACTGTCAGATTCTTTGGAAGTTTTTTTCCTTTCAAACCTAATTAATTACTCTAGATAGAGGTGGGAAGGTTTTTAACTTGATTATCTACTGTGCTGTAGACCTGTGACTTTGCAGTTATTTACACCTGAAATCTTTTACATCTAACCTTTGCATCACTGTGGAAGAAACTTGGGAAAATTAGTGGAAAAGTTTACCAAAGAAAAAAGATTTCCCTGGAACTGTTTCTTTTCAGTGGTCTACAGCCATAAAGAGAGGAAAAAAAAAATAATCAGAAAAACAGGATGATGAAGCCTCAAGAGCTCCTCTGCCAGTGGTGTTCCTGTAGCATAAATGCACCCTTTATTTTCAAAAAGCAGCAAAAGACCCAGAGGGTAGTTACTGTTGCTTAAGAACATTCAGTAGATTTATTACTTACTCAGTGTTTCCATTTGAATAGTGGGGAGGAGGCGGATTTTAATTGGGAAGCACGAGCAGCTGAGCCATAGCAGGAGTTGGAAAATAGATACAGATGCACCTATATTTCTCTCAAGAAAAATTCTCTTTATTCCAGCAGCAGCCATTCTGGTGTCAGTCACTACTAGGAGCCCCTACACATATGAACGTCCAAAGACTGCAGAGGGTAATGATTATGAGTCATCTTTAGTCATTCTTCTTTTCATTGCTCTGATAATATGTGCAGTTGAAAACAGTTTCCTGTAAGCTTCTTGCTTATTCATATGTGGTCCAAACCCAACAAATGGAAATAGAGTCTTGATGTTTTATTATTTCTCCATGTTTCTAGCATAGAGATAATGTATTCTAAAAGACAGGGTATCACTTCAAAGGTATCTGATTAAAAGCCTCAATTACATTAGAAGAGGAAAGAATAAGAATTACTGTAATAAAGATTTTATGAAATATAGAGATACTATACTTAATCTAAAATCAATCACATTTAGAACTACAAACTGCTAAACAGTTTCTGCAGAAGGGGGAGTTCTTTGTTGCACATAACCAAGCATTGTTTGACCATTCCTCAAATTTATGGAAAATATTGCATCTTTTCAATTAATCCATGGAAACTTGTGTTCAATTTAAGGGGAAAAAAAAAAAAAGTAATTCTAGTTTTAGTGGGGAGGATCGTTTACATAAAGTAATACATGCTAGTTACCTTTTTTTTTGGTATGGGAATAAAGATTTAGTAATATGTTTGTTTTTAATGTAGACTAAGAACAAAGGTATCCTTTGCAGTGAGCCTTGAAATGTTTTATCTAATTCAAAGGAAGTTTTGAATCACTGTTTGCATTTACTGTGCAGATTGTGTTCTGAGAAGCACTTGCAAGATGTTTTCAGAGGTATAGCTTTGTTCTTTAAAACCTGGATGAAGCCAACTACATACATATTTTACTGGACAAGGATGGCTTTAAGTCTGTGCTTAAATGAATTGATTAACCAAAACATATTAATTACATTTAATTAGCAACAAATCACTCAAATTCACTGTTTCCAACTGCAATAAATTATACTTCATAAAGTACTCTTAAAACTCTTGTAATAATCTTGATTTGCCAAGGTGAACATTGGATAACAGTGTTTTCGGAGCATCGTTTCTTAGCTCTCTTTTCTGTGACTTTTGGCTAAGCACTTAGTAGCTAATTTTGCTGCAGACAAACATCAAACTCTTTTATTATTACTTTCTCCAAAGGCTCTGTCTGCTTGTTTTGCCCATATTTCATGCATTAAATCCATAGCAATGTTGGTTGTTTTCTTCTATTTATTTATTTATTTATTTATTTATTTATTTAATTAATTAATTTTTGTTTTGTTTTGTTTTGTTTTCTGTTTATTCATTTATATGGTCTGAAGGTCTTTTCCTGGACTTCTTTTCTTCAACATTGAATGTGAATGTGATTATTCTATGGGACACCATTTACTTTCAGCTTTAATATTGGTTTTACAACCTAGTTTTTTCCAGTATCCAAAATCACAGTCCACACATTTGAAGCCCAAAATATCAGCTAAGACCAAAACACCTCAAGCTAAATCTGATAGGGTGCTTCTTTTGAAATTGTGTACTGTAAGGCTTGCTATTCATGTAGAAAGTAAAAAGGTGAAAAACTTCAACTTTTATTTCTTGGAGGGCAGAGGGAACTTGCTCATTATTCTGGGATACTATTTATACGAAAAAGAAGCCAATTTGCTTCAAAAAACAATTTGCAGACCTAACATTTTCATTTTATTCTTAATCTGAAGGGGTTTTTTTATTTTTTGAAGGCAAGCTGAAAATAGTGATGAGTATTTTATAGAAAAAGATTGTAAATTTGAATTTTGAAGGTAAACAATGAGCTTGGATAATGACAAAGTCATTGCAAACCAGCGATATGTAGTAAGCACATTAGATTTGTAACTAGTTTAAGTTTTCTGTACAGTATCTGGCCATTGTCACAAAAAGAATTTAGTGCTGATTGTTCTGGCATTTTTTTTCTCATTTGCAGCAGTATTAATACTAGGCTGTATTATACTGTGAATGTTAATAGAAGCGTAAGAAATACTGTAATATCAAAAACATCAATTGCAAACAAAGTTTAATAATTTTACTTATTGTAAATCCCATTTTTAAAAGATGTATAAGGAGTTTGGGAGATGAGCATAGGTTATAGAAAAGGTTCTATCTTTAGGTGCACATGTTTGTATGTTATATGTTACTTTAGTTGTTACTGCCTTGAGAGGGGAGACTTTATCAATCAATATTATTTTAATTAATTTTCTGTACTGCCAGGAAATTTTAAATGATGTTTCCATTTCATAATTTAGGATTGTGTTTATTTTTTTCCCCTTTTTTCCCCCAATTTGGCATAGTTTGTGTGGAGGAAAAGGGCATGATGTATTTGTGATCCAAATTGCCAGAGGATATAAGGAGAAAAAACTAAGAGGCTTTATCAAAATAAGGGTTTTTTTAAGATAATTGTATACTTGTACCAATAGAAGCCTTTTAGTCCTCTGCTTGACTGCTCACCTTAGAGGAAAAATTCAAGTGTGTTGTGGTCAGCATGCCACTTTCAAGTAATAGCACTCTTCAGTTTGGGGATACCTGACATTTTTGTATATCAAGAATTACTTGCTGTCTGAGTTAACCTATGTGGTCTCTTCCCTTGCTTGTGCTAGGATTTGCTGATTTGCATTAGCATATTTTTGCTTCCATTGCCGTCAAGTTTGTGCAATTCTATTTTTCTTATTGAACTTGTATTATTAGAAAGTTTAATTGTCCATGGTTTTAAAAAGTAAAAGTTAATTTGAAGACTTGCATTACTGCGGTGTAGTATTAACACCTGCATTTATACTTACCAGGGGAGTAATTTTAAGGTTTTTGGAGTTTGTTCCATACTTACCTTGTCACGCTGTTTCTGTTGCAGTCTTGGAACCTATTACACGTAGAATTGAACCACCAAGGTCAACGATAGGTAATGATATTTCCTTGACAAGCTGTTGTGTTTGCTTTTTTCATCACAGAAAGCATCGCTGAAGTTAATCACCTTATGCCTTAGGACTGTTTCATTAAACTTAATTTTTCTTCTAGGTAATTCTCTTGCTTGGCATTCATGACAGTGGGAAGTATTGCTCTCTTCACAGTTGGAATGTCTTCTTTTTTTAAGAAAATGATGCTGGCAGCTCTGAATCACACTCCTCATAATTATGCTTGTCTGTGCTTGTCCCAGCTTTTTATTTAAAAAAAATAAAACCAGAGCTTCAAAAGTGACTATCACCTAAGTTTCTTTCCTACTTCCTATAAGGATACTTTTTTTTTTTCTCTATTGCAGGTGTGAGGTTTCTTTTTGTGTGTTCAACTTTATATCCGATGCTAATTGCTGTGCAATTTAACCAACTTACTACCCACATTTTCTCTTCCAGCTCCAAAGGAGACTCGACGTATCCCTTCTAAACCTAAAACTTCACCTAAACCTCATATCCCACAAGCCAAAGATGGTAAACTGCTTTGTGTGATTATTTTTAACACAGTTTATATTGGATTGAAACGTATATCTGAGCAGCTGTTTAGTTATCTGAGCCAGTTAAAACATAATGGGGTTCTGTGCTGCTGTGTGTTCAATGGTTTATTTGCAGTTTTCAGGAGCAGTAACATTCACTGGGTATTTTTCATCACGCAGAAGAATAAATCTCTGCTACTTCATGTCAGCAGGATGAGAATATTGCTGTTAAACTCAGATTACAGTGGTAACTAAAGGAAATACCTAGCAATTAAAGTATGATATTATGGCTACTTAGGTGGTACAATACTTTCCCACAGTGCTTTGTATTGGTAGAATAAGTATGTTTTTTCCTCTTTAAGTCACAATTACTTATTTTCATGATGTTATTGTTTTATGCGTAAACAGAAGCCTATAACCCAGCGCAGTTACTGTTTCTTTACAAATATTAGTATTTATTAGCATTAATGATAATTTATGCAATATTCCAGAATACTAGATTTTTATACTATGTCATTAAACCTGAGTGCAGTTAATTCCATGGTAGGCAGAGAAAAAATGACTCTTTGTCCTCTGCTATGCAGCTGGTACCATATCAACAGAAAATTACAAGGCTATCAACTATCAACATATGTTATCTTTTGGTAAATGTGAAAAACTACATGATAATCACTTTACTGAAGATCTTTAAATTGTAGACATGGAGTAATATTTTTGAAATCTGGTGTTAGATATTTTCTCATGTAGAAAACAGATAAAATCCTTGTTGTCTCCTAATTGTTTAACCATGTCAGCTGATTGTAAAACATTGTTTCCAAACTACAACTTAAAATGCAGCTTCTCATAAACTGAGCTTTTACCTCTGTGGCCATTTTTTATTATGGTAGTCTGCTCTTCTCAGAAAATTACTTTGCCACACAAATGTTACAGGTTTGTACTGTTCTGTGTTTAAAAAAAGAATCTATAATATACAGATCTTTTTTAGCAGCATCATACACTTATCTTGTGATTTTTCTTAAAAGTTCCAAAGAAATTTTTTTTTATGGTCACCCATACAGAAGGATTGACACAGATTGGATACCATTTCTATTGAGCCTCTGTTTCTAATGTGGGACATGTGAGAAAATAGCATCAATTTCACATCCTTATGCCCCTTAAACACCCAGTTTTATTTTAGAACTATACTAGTTTAGAGCTGAAGTATATGATTGTGCGGTGCAATACACTGTAATGCTCTTTAATAATATAGCATCCAGAAAACAATCTCTGATTCCAACTGTATATATAAACTGCATTTGAAATAGGCCACCAGGGCTAGAGAACTGTGTCCCTAAAAAGCCATTTTCTGTATAAGGGAGTGATATATATTTGGATATCTCCTTGAAGCCCATACGAGAACTAAGCTCACATTATGTTTCTGCATACACTGCTTTCTCAGAGACTTAATTCAATATAACAGTTTTTATATGAGGCAATATACATAATATATAATTCAAAATGCAGTTACTAGACAAGTCGTACTAATTGTAAGTGGGATTATTCTCTTCAATTTTCATAATAGCTTTTATGTTTTGTTTCTGATGCAGTCCTGGAGTCTATAACACATAGAACTGATTAACTAAAACCAACAATTTTACCTACACCATCACATTTTGCTTTTTTCTCAGTACACCTAGTGTCACAAGTACATCTTCACTGTACTCCACTGCCATAAATTTCTACTATTAAATTCAGACCTTCTGTAAGCTTTTTTGTGATTTTACATTAACAATTCATAATCATCTTGTTTGGTTTTTCTCACACAAAATGTGTTCAGTAAAGTGGATGGAAGCACCACAATCCACCTTCGACTACGTGTCTCTATACTCAGTTTCTGTCATGTGCCGCTTCATCTTTTATACAAGTCCATCTCTACTGGCCTTGCTTCATGTTATCCTGTCACAGAGGTTCTCCATCAGCATTGTTTCTTTGTGAACCAGACATTCATACTTCTCCATTACTCATACAAGATCTTTGTGTTTCCAGAGGGTCCCAAAAGCATGTGTTCTTTTTTAATATTGTGTCTTCTGTCAGTCTCAGTTCTTGAAAGATTTTAATAGTTGCCTTTTTTTTTTTTCTTTTTCCAGTTCCAAAAGAAACACCACGTGTTCCCTCCAAACCTAGAGCATCACCAAGCTCAGAGGTGCCACAAACCAAACATGGTAAGTACGTTTATTTACCTTATCATACTGATACATGTGTCTTATGAATTCTACTGTGATCAGTAGTGCTTCAGATTTATATGTACCCCTTGTGCGTATATGTTGGAGCCTTTCTTGAGGAATAAAATCCAGTATTACATGTCATGGCATGTGGGAATAATAAGTAGCCTGGTTAAGTTTAAATCTTCAGTTCTTTTTTACATTTTAAGTAACTGCAACAGTAGGCATTTTTGTGCAGTTGACTGTGAAAATAGGTCTTTTCTGTGTGCATTTGCTTGGGAAAAGTAGACATGAAAAGGAGGGATGTGATTGCAAAGAGGAAGGGTTTTTTTCTGTATTTCTCAAATTGTATACTTGTTTCTTCTTTTCCAAGCACAATAATTCCTTTATACTTTTCACTTTTGCACAGCCCTTATGTTGTTCAGAGATTTAAGATTGTGTTACGCTTTCTATAATGTTTACACAGCTTGGTATAGAGCAATATGCAACCCTGGGCTAATTAAGGGTGGAGGAAGAAAGGTATACAACTCACACCAGCAATTGTGTGAGGCACTGTAGTGAGTTGACTCCAGCCAGCAACTAAATACCCACTAGCCACTTGCTGATTCCACCCAGTAGTGGAATCAGAAGAGCAAAATGGAGGCAAACCCCCCATAGTTCAAGATAAAGACAGTTTAACAAGTGAAGGAAAAGAACAGGGGGGGAAAAAAACAAATGATACAAAGGCAACCACTCTCCACATCCCACCACAGACTGATGCCAGTATAGGATCAATAGGTCCTTTGGAAAGACTACCTCCCAGTTTTGTTGCTAAGTATGATGTATGACCCCTTCGGTCAGTGACTAGCTGGGGTGCACAGAGCTCTGCCTGGGAATGGATGAGCATCTGACTGAGAGTTTATGGGTCAGGATTAAAGGAAAGGCAGGGACAGTATAGTGAGGGTCTGCTACAGGCCATCTGACCAGGAAGACCAAGTGGAGTAGGCCCTCTGTAGACTCGAGCAGCCTCATGTTCACAAGCTCTGGTCCTCATGGGGGACTTCAACCAGCCCGGTATCTGTTGGAGGGGCATCACTGCAGCACGTAAGCAACACAGGAGGTTCATGGAGTGCATTGATGATAACTTTCTTCTCCAAGTGATAAAGGAGCCAACGAGGAGAGGTGCTGTGGTGGACCTTGTTCTCACCAACAAGGAGGGTCTGGTAGAGTACGAAGCTCAGGGGCAGCCTTGGCTGAAGTGACCATGAAATGATGGAGTTCAAGATCCTTAGAGCAGTGAGGAGGTCACACAGCAAGCTTGCTACTCGATTTCAGGAGAGCAGACTTTGTCCTCATCAGGGATCTGCTGGCAGAGTAGCATGGGATAAAGTTCTAGAGGGAAGAGCAGTGAAAGCAAACTGGTTAATATTCAAGGATTTCCCCCTCCAAGCTCAGGAGAGATGCATCCCAACAAAGAAGTCCTGTAAGAACGCCAGGCCTGCATGGATGAACAAGGAGCTCCTGGACAAGCTCAAACACAAAACAAGTAAGCCTACAGAGGGTGGAAGCAAGGACATATAGCCTGGGAAGAATACAGAGAAACTGTCTGAGCGTCCAGGGATCAGGTTAGGAAGGGCAAAGTCCTGATAGAATTATATCTGGCCAGGAATGTCAAGAGCAACAAAAAAAGCTTTTATAGGTATGTCAGTGATAAAAAGAAGACTAAGGAAAATGTGGGCCCTCTCCAGAAGGAAACAGGAGACCTCATTACCCAGGATATGGAAAAGGCTGAGATACTCAATGCCTTTTTTGCCTCAGTCTTCACCAGCAAGGGCTCCAGCCACACTGCCCAAGTCGAGAAGACAAAGACAGGGACTGAGAGAATGAAGAACTGCCTACTGTAGGAGATCAGGTTTGAGACCATCTAAGGAGCTGAAAGGTGCACAAGTCCATGGGACCTGATGAGATGCATCTCTGGGTCCTGAGGGAACTGGTGGATGAAGTGGCTCAGCCACTATCTATCCTATTTGAGAAGCTGTGGTAGTCTGGTGACATTCTCACTGACTGGAAAAGAGGAAACATGAGCCCCATTTTTAAAAAGGGAAAAAAAGAAGACCCAGGGAAGTACAGGCCAATCAGTCTTGCATCTGTACCTGACAAGATCCCCCTGGGAACTGTGCTAGGGCACGTGGAAAATAAGGAGGTGATTGGTGACAGCCAACATGGCTTCACTAAAGGGCAAATCATGCCTGACAGATTTGGTAGCCTTCTATTATGGGGTTAGAGTGTTGACAGATAAGGAAAGAGCAACTGTTGTCATCTACCTGGACTTGTGCAAAGCTTTTGACACTGTCCCACACAACATCCTTGTCTCTAAACTGGAGAGACATGGATTTGATGGATGGACCACTCGATGGATAAAGAATTGGCTGGATGGTCACACTCAGAGAGTTGTAGTAAACGGCTCAATGTCCAAGTGGAGAGCAGCGACAAGTGCTGTTCCTTCAGACCGGTGATGTTTAACATGTTGATGACATGGACAGTGGGATCGAGGCACCCTCATCATCTTTGCCAACAACTCCAAGCTGTGTGGTGTAGTCAACATGCTGGAGGGAAGGGATATGCCATTCAGGCTGGAGAGGTGGGGCTGTGCAAACCTCATGGGGTTCAACAAGGCCAAGGGCAAGGTCCTGCACATGGGTTGGGGCAATCCCAAGCACAAATACAGGCTGGGCCGTGAGTGGACTGAGAGGAGCCCCAGAGAGAAGGACTTGGGGTGTTGGTGGATGGAAAGCTGACTATGAGCCAGCAATGTGCACTCGCAGCCCAGAAAGCCAACCATATCCTGGGCTGCATCCAGAGCAGTGTGGCCAGCAGGGCGAGGGAGGGGATTGTCCTCCTACTCTGCTCTTGTGAGATCCCACCTGTAGTGCTGTGTCCAGATCTGGGGGCACCAATATCAGAAGGACATGGACATGCTCAGGTGGGTCCAGAGGAGGTCACAAAGATGATCAGGGGCTGGAGCAGCCCCCTGTGAGGACAGGCTGAGAGAGTTGGAGGTGTTCAGCTGGAGAAGAGAAGGCTCCAGGGAGACCTTAGAGGGCCTTCCAGTACTTAAAGGGGGCTACAGGAAAGGTGGGGAGGTACTCCTGATCAGTGAGTGTAATGCTAGGACGAGGGGTTAACAGTTTTAAACTGACAGAGGGTAGATTTAGCTTGGAGTTAAGGGAGAAATTCTTTCCTGTGAGGGTGATGAGACAGTGGCAGAGGTTGCCCAGAGCAGCTGTGGCTGCCCCCTCCCTGGCAGTGTTCCAGGCCAGGCTGGACGGGGCTTTGGGCAACCTGGGCTAGTGCAAGGTGTCCCTGCCCATGGCAGGGGGGTGGAGCTAGATGGTCTTTAAGGTTCCTTCCAACCCAAACCATTATATGATTCTGTGATGATTCTACAAATTTGGTTCAGCTGTCCCAGCTGTATCCCCTCCCAGCATCTTACCCACTCCCAGACTACTTGCTTGGGAGGCAGAGTGAAAAACAAAGTCATCCTTGATGCTGTAACAAGCACTATTCAGCAATAGCTAAAATACTGTGTGTTGTCAAGACTTCACAAATCTAAAGCAGATTGCAACAGGGAGTGCTATGAGGAGCATAAACTCCATCCCAGTCAGATCCAGTACAGGTATCCAAGATATATGCAGTATTAGATGGTGTCGCTGGATAAATGGGCAGGAAGATGATAACTAAGGTTCCTTTTTCCCCCAGTAAGTCTGTGCCTATTGTTTGATTCAAAACCTTGAAATAAGTCAGGAATGTGTACAATGTTGAAGGTGAAAAATCACCTAGAATTTCTTTGCGGCTTGTTACAAAAGCTTCAGATATATATCTGGGCTCTGTTCTGTGTTAGAGCTATTGCCTTGAACTGGAGATGATTCTGAGTGGTGTAATACTCTGATATGTACTGAGTTTCAAGGAGGAGTGACCTTCTGTCATTGGCTGTAGCAGGGGTGGTATGATCTTTGTGGAGTTAGATTGTAATGTTTTGATTGTTGTTGTACTTGGTTTTGTTTTTATCATGCCAGTGCAGTTCTGGAACCAATTACATTTAGAACTGAGAAACCAAAGTCAACAGTAGATAATGATACCTTCTTACTTTGAATAGTCATGTTGCCTTTCCTCTTCAACACAAATCATTAAGAGCAGACCTGCAAAAACTTGTCACCTTTCTTTGTATGTGCCTTAATTTGCGTCATGATTCTCTGTCTCTTTACTTATTTTCTACAAAATAATTGAGGAGGATCCTTGTTGTTATGCACATGTGGCAGAGGGCAGATCAGAACAAGATCCTAACTTACGTGTCCTCAGTCATACTGTAGAGGTGGCACTGTTCTAGTTATATGGTTTGGGTGAGCAGAGATGCATGGTGCAAGTGTTCTTTCTCTGCTTCCCTTCCTCTCCAGTTTCACTAAATGAAATTCAGTCCTTCATAGAGATCTGAAATATAATTGTTTTACTCAAACCTTATTTCCACAGTCAGAACAGAATCACTTCATTGATCTTTGGGTCATGTGATTCCTTGAGATAGATCCATTTGACTAAGCATTTTTATAATTTGAATTTGGTACTGCACATCATTCCAGTACAACCTCCATTACAGATCAGCAGTGTCTTTGTATTTGAAGATATTTATTTTGGTTTTTTCTTATTTTATTTTTTTAAGTCCTCTTAAATAGAACCAGTAATTCTGTCACATGCTGAGTTGATGATGTCACAAAAGTTTATTTATTTTCTCTATAACCTTCTCTTTTGCATCACTTCCATAGAATATCTTTAGTTCAAATCTTTTCTCTGTTTTCGCTGACTGTTATGGGTGGTAGTGGACACTGATACCTCAGAAAATATTTGTACAGTATAACCCTGTTTCTTTCTTTCAGCTCCTAAAGATACACGTCTTGGGCCTTCCAAACCTAAAACATCACCCAGCCCACATGTTCTTCCAACTAGAGCAAGTAAGCTTACTGGTTTTTTGCCTTTTAGTGCATGAAAGTTTTATCACTTTGAAGACTGTCAAAATTTATGAGTTCTTTGAAGATACACAGATATTTATTGAATAAGCTGTGTTTTATTGTCATAATCAATTTCTACTATATAACTGTCATGGAACAAGATAATCAGCTAGATATTTTTACATGTCAGTAACATATAATGGTAGGGATGTGGGTGCTAACACTCATCTTGAGCCCTTGCACATAGGAAAATTTGTGTCTTAATTTCCATGGAATGTGACAGAGGTATTTTTATTTTCTAGTTATCATTTACAAGTGTAAAATTACAGTATTTTTCTGTTCCCAAAATTTTGGAAATAGTTCCATCCATTTAAAAATTAGTGGTAAGTAAGTTTCCATGTTTCTTCTGCTTTGACTGCTTTGCTGGAGATTTTTTTTTCTTTTTTTAAATGCAAAGTTGATTTAAATGAGCAGCAGATTTTTTGAATATGAAACACTTGAGAAGCACAACTAGGGAAACTGTTGGAAATGGCTGAGGGAACTGGGATTATTTAGTCTGGAGAAGAGGAGGCTGAGGGGAGAAGCTCATCGCCCTCTACAGCTACCTGAAAGGAGGGTGCAGAGAGCTGGGGATGAGTCTCTTTAACCAAGTAACAAGCGATAGGACAAGAGGTAATGGCCTCAGGTTGCACCAGGGAAGGTTTAGACTGGATATTATGAAGTATTTCCTTACAGAACAGGTTGTTAGGTGTTGGAATGGGCTGCCTAGGGCAGTGGTGGAGTCCCCATCCCTGGAGGGATTTAAGAGTCATGTTGAAATGTTCTGAGGGGTACAAAGGAGCCCATATGCTGACCAGACCCATACCATAGGGAGGTCTGCTGCCTCCCTGGGGCTTGGGTTAGAGATATTAAAGGGAAGGTCACTGCTCTGGTGCAGCACTCTGATTACTACCCTTTGTTGGTTTTCCAGTCAGGTAATGATAAGGTGGCAGAGAGAAGTCTACAGACACTCAAAAAGAACTTCAAAGTGCTGGGGTGGCTATTTGAAGGTTCAGGAGCTCAGGTCGTGTTTTCATCAGTCTCTCAAGTGGAAGGGAAAACCAGTGATAGAGGGTGGAAAACACACCTGATTAACATGTGACTTAGAGACTGGGGCCACTGTCGGAATTTTGGATTCTTCCATCATGGTGAGGTTTATAAGGCACTTAGTCTGCTGGTAAAAAATGAGACAGGTGGGATGCAGCTGTCCCAGAGCGGGAAAAGATTTCTGGGGCAGGAGTTAGCAGGGCTTATTGACAGAGCTTTAAACTAGATATGAGAGGGGAGGGGGTGATAACTGGGCCTGTTAGGAATAAGCTCAAGGGAAACATGACATAGCTTGAAGGAGGGCTCTCCATATGCCATTTCATTTGAAAGAAGGGAAAGATGTTTAGAAACCGTGGAGGCACCTGAGAAGGGTCTGGTAGGAAATGGAGCCCACACTCACAAAAAGGTGTTGGATTCACTAACTCATCTCAAGTGCATCTATACCAATGCATGCAGTATAAGCAACAAACAGGGGGAGCTTGAGGCCACGATGCAGCATGAGAACTATGACATAGTAGCTATAACAGAAACGTGGTGGGATGCCTCACATGACTGGAGTGCTGCAGTCAATGGCTACAAGCTCTTCAGGAGGGATAGACAGGGAAGGAGAAGTGGTGGAGTGGGCCTGTATATGAGAGAATGCTATGAGAGCTCAGAAATCAAGTGATAACAGGGTTGAGAGTGTTTGCATTATGTTAAAGACCAATAAAGCAGATCTTGCTGTGGGAGTCTGCTGTAGATCCCCAACCAAAGCAGTGAGGTAGATGAAGCCTTCTGTAAACAGTTGGGAGAAATCTTGTGGTCACTTGCCGTTGTTCTTGTGGGGGACTTTAACCTCCCGGGTATCTGCTGGGATCACAACACAGCAGAGAGGGAACAATCCATGAGGTTCCTGGAATGTGTGGAGGATAAGTTCCTCACACAGCTGATGAGTGAGCCGACCAGGGAAGGTGCCCTCTTGGACCTGCTTCTTGTGAACAGGGAAGAGCTTGTGGGGGAGGTTGGAGGCTGTCTAGGGTGCAGTGATCATGAGATGGTCGAGTTTTTGATCCTTGGAGAGACACAGAGAGGGGTTAGTAAAACTGCCACCTTAGACTTCCGGAGGGCTAACTTTGACCTGTTCAAAAGACTGATTAACAAAATCCATTGAAGGAAATGGGAGACCAGGAAGGCTGGAAACACTTCAAGAGTGAAGTCTTAAAGGCAGAGGAGCAGGCTGTTCCTGTGTGCTGAAAAAACAAGCAGGTGGGGAAGGAGACCGGCCTGGCTAAACAGGGACCGTTGACTGGATCTCAAGAACAAAAGGTGCCTTTGGAAGAGGGGGCAGGTCTCTCATGAAGACTATAAAGTTGTAGTGAAGTTATACAGGGAGAGCATTAGGAGAGCCAAAGCGCTACTAGAGCTCAACTTGGCTATAGCTGCTAAGGATAATAAAAAATGTTTCTATAAATTCATTAACAGCAAAAGTAGGATTAGGGAAAATCTGCCTCCTTTATTGGATGCAAAGGGAAGCATGGTAACTGAGGCTGAGGAAAAGGCTGAGGTGCTCAACGCCTACTTTGCCTCAGTCTGTAGCAGTGCAACTGGCTGTTCCCTGGACACCCAGCCTCAGGAGCTGGGAGATGGGGAGGGGGAGCAGACTGAGGTCAGCACAGTTGAAGAGGAGGTGGTCAGAGACCTGCTGCACCACTCGGGTGCACACAGGTCTGTGGGACCGGATGGGTTATACCCAAGGGTGCTGAGGGAATCGGCAGATGTGCTCGCCAAGCCACTGTCCATGATTTACCTGAAATCATGGCTAACTGGGCAGTTCCCGTTGAACTGGAGGGCGACAAATGTGACACCCATCTACAGGAAAGGCAGAAAGGAGGGTCCGGGAAACTATAGACCTGTCAGTCTGACCTCGGTGCCAGGGAAGGTCATGGAGCAGGTCATCTTGGGTGCCATTAAAAGCCATATAATGGACAACCAGGGGATCAGGCCCAGTCAGCATGGGTTTATGAAAGGCAGGTTCTGACTGGCAAACCTGATCTCCTTCTATGACAGAATGACCCGACTGTTGGAGGAGGGAAAAGCTGTCGATATTACCTACCTGGATTTTCAAAAATCATTCAACACAGTTCCCCATAGTATTCTCGTAGAAAAACTGGCTGCTCATAGCCTGGATGAGCATATGGTCTGCTGGATCAAGCACTGGCTGGGTGGACGATCCCAGAGAGTGGTGGTGAATGGAGCTAAGTCCAGCTGGCAGCTGGTCACAAGTGGTGTTCCTCGGGGCTTGGTGTTCGGACCATTTCTGTTTAACTTCTTTATTGATGATCTTGATAAGGACGTAGAGTGTATTATCAGTAAATTCGCAGATGACACCAAGTTAAGCAGGAGTGTCGGTCTGCATGAGGACAGGAAGGAGCTACAGAGAGACTTGGATAGATTGGATCGGTGGCCAATGTCAACAGGATGAGCTTCAACAAGGCCAAGTGCCAGGTCCTGCTCTTGGGCCACAACAACCCCCTGCATGGCTACAGGCTTGGGGAGGAGTGGCTGGAGCTGTCTGGGAGAGAAGGATCTGGGGGTTCTCATTGACAAGCAGCTGAACAGGAGCCGGCAGTGTGCCCGGGTGGCCAAGAAATCCAAGAGCATCCTGGCTTGTATCAGCAATAGTGTGACCAGCAGAAGCAGGGAGGTGACAGTCCCCCTGTGCTCTGCACTGGGGAGGCCACATCTGGAGTGTTGTGTCCAGTTTTGGCACCTCAATACGAGAGAGATCTCGAGGGGCTGGAGCGAGGGCAGAGGAGGGCAACGAGGCTGGGAAAGCACCTGGAGAACAAATCCTATGAGGAGCCATTGAAGGAGCTGGGGCTGTTCAGTGTGAGGAGGAGAAGGCTGAGGGGAGACCTCATCACTCTCTACAGCTCCCTGAAAGGACATTGCAGAGAGGCTGGTGCTGGTCTCTTCTCACAGGGGATTAGTGACAGAACAAGGGGGAACAGCTTTAAACTGCAACAGGGGAGGGTCAGACTGGATATTAGGAAAAAAAATTTCACAGGAAGAGTGGTCAGAGAGTGGAATAGGCTGCCCAGGGAGGTGGTGGTGTCCCCATCCCTGGATGTGGGTCGTTTGGATGAGATGCTGGGGGATGTGGTGTAGGGGAGAACTTTGTAGAGTAGGGCTGATGGTTGGACTCAATGATTTCAAATGTCTTTTCCAACCTGAATGATTCTATGATTCTATGACATAGCGCTGAGGGATATGGTGTAGTTGGGAACTGCCAGTGTTAGGTTAATGGTTGGACTGGATGATCTTCAAGGTCTTTTCCAACCTAGATGATTCTGTGATCCTGTAACTACAGCAGTTTATTCTGTAGAAAGCTCTATTTGATAGAGCTGAGAGGAGTAGAGAATTAATCCAATACTGCACTTAACAGTTGCTTTGTCTTTTCTCTCTGCACCAGCATAATATTGGTTGCATTGATGGGAGATCTCTTTGTGATTATTTTCAAATGGAAGTGCTTCCTCAAAAATTTGTTTGCAGGAAATGAATCTCCTATCAGGAAAATCAAAAGATTTATGTTGAATCATAATCCTCAGTAAAATGTTCAAAACTTTGCTGATCTTCACAGGTCCAAAAGAAAGTCGGCGAGTCTCTTCCAAGCCCAGAGCATCACCAAGTCCAGATGTACCACACACAAAACCTGGTAAGTACGTTGTTTTGTGTGTATTCAAGGTTTCTTTTGGGTTGTTTTTCCTCAATGAATCAAGTGTTAATAAACATCTCTTTGTATTACAAACAAATAGATTTTCTGATGATCATTAAATATGTGTTTAAAGATAGAGCTGGTTTGTATTTTTAATGACTGAGTTTTGATGAGTTGTTTATGCTTTTCAGTCTCATGACAGCTGTCACTGATAAATAATCTACATAGCAGAGTAGACAGCATACAAACATGATAAGAGTGTTCTGGAAGAAACTGCATCTTTTCTGCGCCTATCAAAAGATGCTTAGAGGAAAACATATTTAAGGGCCTTCATGTATGACTCTAAATATCTGTGACTCAAGCCACTCATATGTTTGTGTGCTCTGTAATGGAATTTGACCCTTAAAATTATACTTAATAGTGATTTACATACTAGTGAACTGTCAAACCTCTGTAAGTCCTGATGGTTCTGAAAGCATCAGTTAAACCTTCCTTTTGAGTGAGTGTATATTCACTAATTCCACCAATAGTTAAAAAAAAATATAAAATTAAAAAATTAATAAAAAAAAAAAAAAAAAAAAAAAAAAAAAAAAAAAAAA